TTWAARKTWAAATTTCAAATGGTTGTAATATTTAATATTTTAATAATAGCTGAGATCGAATAGCCAAACCTTAAGGTTAATCACAGTGGAAACTGTCTGTGCCCATCATGGAATGTTTTATTAGAATGGAATGTTGGAGCTTTTGGTATGTTAGATGCACACAGATTTACTTCCTATTTTTTCCTTATGATTAATTTCTTTTCCTTCTTCTTCCCACCCCCTTTGGACTAAAGTTCTCCTTAGTTCTCACACATACTGAGTTCCTATTGGGTAGGTTTTTAATAACTATCTCTTGATTGTCATATATGGTGTAGCTCCTGGAATACATGATGATGGATACCTGGTAGTGATACTTCTGATCACGTGGATGAATAGCTCAGAGCCAACACAAGTAGTACTTGCAAACATATCAAGACTTTGTTTGCTTTATTCTTTTATCCTGATCATAAATGTAGAAGAATTATAATTAATTCTAAATAAGCCAGGTACTGCTTTTAAAAATTTGAAATGTTTTTTCTGTCTCACTGCCCCTTCACTGTTTTTCTGGTACACATACACACGATCATTTTTAATTACTATTTTTCTAAAGTATTTTCATTATTCCTCAAGAAATATTTAAGAAACTGGATATTTCAGATTTTTTTCCCCCAGTGGAAGACACTTGTTGCTTGCCACAGACTAACAAAATTTGGTTTGAATCAAATCTGTTCTATACTGCAGATGGACTGTGTCCTAGGCGATCCATACTGTACACAAGGAGTAGCTGATTGTTTTGTTGAATGTAACAGGAGGTTGCCTAAGTGTAGTAAGAGAGAAATGAAATGTTGACTTTTCAKTTTTTTTCTATATATATGTTTTTTAGTTGTAGATGGACACAATATGTTTATTTTGTTTATTTATTTATTTTTATGTGATGCTGGGGGTCAAACTCAGTGCTTCACACATGCGAGGCAAGTGCTCTACCGCTGAGCCACAACCCCAGCCCCTGGGACTTTTCAGTTTTTGTTTCAGGTGTGGAGATCTGGAGAGTTGGTGGCTAGAAAGATTACATTGTAAGGCAAGGGATAGGATTTTCTGATTCTATGGACTTAATTTCCTCCTGCTTTCACTGAAAGACTGAAGTTTAGGAATTCCTGTTGTCTTTGGCTATATTATGCACCTCTAAAATCAATTCTCTTTGACTGGAGAAGGAATTTTTCAAAACACACAAGACTCATATTTTTCAATTATTCTCTGGGTTGAGAAGGGTATGTGATTTGAAAGATCTTTCCAAATGATTCTGATAATTTCTACCTCCCACTGAGAACCACTGCTGTAGAGGTAGCTCAAGGTACCTCCCTAGCAGTGGTTTTTAAAAGTCGAATGAATTTCAGAATCATTTGGGATGCTCTGTGAAACAATACAATCCCATAGTTTGAGGGTGTGTGTGTGTGTGTGTGTGTGTGTGTGTGGGAGTGTGTGTGTGCGCGCGCGCGCATACATGCCAGATGTTGAACCTAGAGCTTTGTGCATACTAACAGGTACTCTATCACTGGATACACCCCAGTCTGAAATCTGTATATTTAACAAGTACCTAGTATAGTTTCATTTTCAGGTCTTCAGACTATTTCACAAACCATTGTACTAGAGCTCTAACGTAATTTTAATTATGAAAGGTTCAGTAACTACATAAGGTTCTCTAACTGTATTCCCCCAATGTGATGGGGCCTTTTTTTTTTAAATGTTTTTTAGTTGTTGGTAGACCTTTATTTATTTATACACAGTGCTGAGAATTGATCCCAGTACCTCACACATGCCAGGCAGGTGAGCTACCGCTGAGCCACCTTTCAAAGGCTCTTTTTATAGCAACGTGTATAATTTTTTCTTTCTATTCTGTACATCATTGTAGATTCCATCTTTACTCATTACCATGATGTTATCATAAGACTTTTGAGTAATGACACTTCAAGGTGATTTGAGTATCYTAGAAGTAGTGCATAGAGAATAACCATAGAGATGATAACCATAGAGAATAATCATTCTCTGTGCACTAGGTGAAGGCTGATGTAGGGAGATGGCTAACATAGGAGCAAACATTTATTGAGTGCTCACTATGTTAGAGCTGTTCTAAGTCTTTTACATATAGTCTTCCACCTTGTAAAGTTAATTTGTTTCTGAAATTTTCTTCATAGAGAAATTCTCTTCAAATGGAAATAGAATTTCTATTAATTTCCACGGTAAAATTTCTCTTTGAATTTCTTTAAACACAATTACTTCAGTAGTTACAATTAACTACTATCACAATTAYATTAACTATCATAACAATAACAATAAGGTATTTTGCTTTTTTATTAATTAGGTCATAGTAAGTCTGTTTTTCTGTTCTCTTTGGCTTTTATGCCTCTTCTTCATTAAAACTGTGCCCACAGAAAAACATACATGAACAACATACTCAGTGCAGTGTAATTTAAGCTTTTGTGTAAAACAACAAACACCACCAAAACACTTTTAATGCAAATAAAACAATAAAGACAAAGGAAATGAAGGAAGGCAATGCAAATGACATTTGTCTATATAGTTTGATTTCACAGGGGCCATGATAAATAAGAGTGAGTTCTGTAAATTAGCAAATCTAAAGCACTTGGAGAGAACATAGTGCATCACTGAGAGACAATTTTATTTTGAAGATGAATATTCGCACTATAGCTTTTGTTTTATGTTTGTGAGGTTTATGAAATTCAGCTGGGTCATTGAAAATGTAAATAAATGTTTTATAATCCAAAATAGGAGTAGTAATAAAATTGCTTATAAGGAGAGTTTTTGTAACAATTGAAAAATTTATGAACCTTGGGAGATGACTCTTACTACATATTTACCATCTCATTTAATTTTTGCAACTACTTCATGAAAGCATTAYTATTATTTTTATAGAAAACTTGAGGTAGAGAAGTTAAGGAACTTTCCCAGGGTTCCACAATTAGTATTAGAACCAGGAGCAGATCAGGCAGCTGTCTCCAAACCTGCCTTTTTACTAGTAGGCAATATATTATGGGAAGGCCCTACAGTATTGCTTCTGGAGGCTCTCTTTTGTTGCATATGGAAGCTAGTCATTGTTATGGTATCTTTCTGTCTTAAGTTTGTTAAGTTAAAATTTTATTTCGACTAGGATTTAAAATAATGTGGTAATTACAGGCATTAAAAGCAATCTTTATACTTTGTTTTTTTGTTCTCCCTCTTACCCTTCACCTAAAGGGCTGTCAGCACTCCAGGATATTGAAACAGGAGTGCAGCATATTTTGGCAGACATGATTGCTAAAGACAAAGACACGCTTGATTTCATTCGGAAATTGTGAGTAACTCTTTCACAGAGTTTTCTGCTTTGTGGGCTTTTGTTGTTAAGGGTCACATGGTTACTGCTAACACCAGTGTTCATTAAAAACTGTCTTCCGACTTTTTTTTCCCCTAGTATCAGATCACTTTTTTCAAACAACAGAACCTTAATATATAGAACAGATAAAAGAAAAGATGTTTTAATTGAATTATGGTCAGGGAGCCTGGAACTCTATCTACTCATCCTATTAAACCCYGGCACCTCAATGGAGGGCTCTGATGAACACAGTTTAGAAACCACTGCATTTACATAACATCTACTAGAGATTTATGCTTATTTAGAGTTGGTAGCATTGCTTTCTTAAACATGTTAATTGTGATGTACATGTTTAATTTTATAATAGTTAATTTATGGAGTTTATTGGCAATTACGTTATCTTCAGAATGTGTGATATGAGATATGGATAAAAGCACTGACCTTAAAATGAATTTTGGCTTCTGGGGGGAGCAGCTTATCCATCCATTGCATCACAATCTGCATTTATGAGATTAAAACTCTTTGCTAGACCTATTTGGGCTCATGGATTTTATGCCTCATTTTAAAAAAGGCATTACTTTTTAAATTTTTTTTTAAAATAAAGTTTATTTTCTTCCTACGATAGAAATACATACCAATTGCATAAAGTATAAAAGTTTACCTAGTAAATAGAATTTTACAAATATGGAATAATGTATATGATAAATTAAAATAGAAATTCAAGCATAATCCTATAATATAAACAAATTCCTGTATTTTTATACAAGAGACATAGAAAATATTTATAAAGCACATAAAAATGTTCACTCCTGAGAAGAGAGAGGTTTCCAAGAGGTAGGATATCATGTGGGGTAGCTGTCAGTAAAAAGGAACATATACTTTTTTTTTATAGTTCTATGTTACTTTTAGATTTTATAAATGACCACTTTTGCTTTTCTAATTTTAACAATTTAAAAAGTCAACAGTACAGATAAGCAAAAATAATTTTTAGCTACACACTCAGTTACCATTCTTACTACTGTTGCAGATTTCTAAGAGTGCTTACTCACAATATACTTTTCTATGCATATTCACTAATATACTAGGATAGATTGTATTGCATGAAAATTAAACCTTTAAAAAATTAACAGGATTGTATGAACATCTTTTTATGTTTATGAAAATATTTCTATAGCTTTAATGCATCAGCTTAAGTGTGTTTGGATTATAACACAAAAATAGAATAATGGGTAGATAATGCAACCCTAAACAGTTTAGATTTAATCCAAACAACTCTGACTTTAGACATAAAGGGAAAATATATGTATTTCTCCTAACTGAATTGGCTAGATAATTGTTCTCAAGTCTTTGCTTCATGGAAATTTTTTAGATKWA